TACTACCTTAGTACATCAACAATATCCTATAATCGTGCCAAACAAATAATTGTAATACAAAATATTAAAATAAAAAAATTCTCATGACATTTATTTGTAGATATTATCAGATAATATCTAGATCGTCGTACGTCACTGATAGATGGCAGTACTAGTATATAAGAGTTCCCTATCCCGTCAATAAGAGCACGGGTGATTACACGTTAATTTCATCGAGTTACATAGGGCTGGTCCCCCACATCTACCATAATCATCTTATCATCATAATTAAGCGGTTCATATCTGTAGGTTTGATAAACAACAATTTATCATTCAATTTTTTTCAAACAAGCAATAATATTAACACTCACTCTGTAGTATCGTAGCTAAAATTCATACAACATTTTTGAAAGTTGTCCAGCCTGAACAAGAGCTTTTGGAGTTCATATTTTATAGTTCTATTAAATATATACTTTCCTCTTTCTGTATACACATTATGTTCATTGTATTTCATGTGTATCACAATTTTTTTTTAGCATAGATTTATCATCTATTGGAACTCCAAAAAACCGATTTGCACGAAAAGTTCCTACTGTGTGTATTTTACGGTTTTCTAAAAATGCCATTATTGGAATAGACGTGTAATAGTTATCAAAGTATAGTTTGTGATGCATATTTATTGGAATAGATCTTGTCAACCGAACAATGACATTTCCCGTGGCTCCAAAGTCTGGTTCAGAATAAAATAATCTTTCAAACGAATTATTTTTGTTGCCAGTATAAAACTCAAAATCATATGCATACCCAGATGACCCACAAAGAACAAATAATTTATAACCCCATTTATGGGGCTTCATAGGTAAATATTGTTTCATATATGATCTAGCTTTTGTAGGGCATAACTGTTCATCTAGAGAAATACACTCTTCCATTGGAATACTGATATATTTTTGTTTAAGAGCAGAAATAATTGGTCTCATCTTAAATAATCTGTCACGATTGGGATCATCTCGTGGTAAGTCAAATTCATTATCATTGAAGTGTATATATCTCTATATTTTCAAATACATTCACACTCATGCAATTTCTAATAATATGATTATAGGTGTTTCCTGACCAGAAGCTTCTTAAATTTGGCACATGAACTATTGACATCATAATTACTATACCCAAGTACTGTTCAATACCAGTGTTATAAATATTGATTTCTTTCATAAGATGTTGCTGTGCATGAAAAATTCTAGTTTATTCTAAAATATGTTCTACTAATTTACAAAAAAATAACGAAAAAAATCAATCGGTGAAGTTAAATTTGAAATTTCTTTTGATAAACAATCAGATCCAATAAAATGTATGTGTTCGGAATTCGTCACAAAATTACCACGTTTCCAAACTATATTCGGTTTTTCTTTTGGTTCCAGAAATACTTTTTTTAGAGCAAGAACTACCTGTTTGAAATGTATTATTTCTAGTTTTTTTTTGCCACAGAAATATTAGAATTATTAGCATCCGATGTTGACTTTTTAGACATAATATAAATATTAGAATTATTTGCATCTGATGTTTGTGGTAAATAATTATCTTCTGTTACCTACCTCAGAATTATTTTCAAGACTGTACTGGCTAAAAAGTTCATTTATGAAATTGTCAGCTATTTCTATAGGTGGCGGACTATTCTCGAGGTATTAAGTTGGCAAAGTGAATACTTCATTTGAATCATCAAGTTGACAAATTTTCAACCTGATGATCTTTTAAAAAATAAGCTTTAAGTAGTGGATCAACTACCATACAAAATAATAAAGTTGTATTTTATCTGAACAAGGGAACATGTTTAGTTATACCAATATTTACTTTAGATGCAAATGTGCGAACCTTTAAGTTATAAGTTATTTTGGTATAGATCTCTTAAGGTTTCAATAACATAATGCAAATAACAAATAATGCTCGCTGCTGTAGGCAATAAAGAGCTACATAAATCATTTATGTGGCATTGTATTACGGTTTTAGTAAGCACAGCAAACCTTCAATTGTTGAATGTTGATCCCTTGTTAAGTTATCAATTTTACTATTAGACTCTATCAAATCAGCAGAAATAAATCTTTTTAATTCTTAAATCCGTTGTAGTATTAAATATTCAGAGTTCCAACGAGTCTTTATATCTTGGATTAGCATCATCTTGGATTAGCATCAATGGTGGAGACATATTTTCTTTTTTTTTAAGTTAAAAAAGCCTTGCCTCTGCCGTTGAACTTGGCTTATAATGGCCAACAATGGACCTACAAGCTATTAAAAGAGCTTCTGAGTTAGGTGTACTTTTTTGTGACATCAACTATTGCAAATTGCAATGAGTGTGCTACACATCTTAAATGTTTCCAGGTGTATCCATCAGGAACTTTACTTACTGCTAGGTTTGGTGCATTGCCTGTAACAAAATACATAGGTTTATGTTTACAAAATGACCATTTTTCAATTAGTCTTACTATAAGATTATTTAGATTGGCTGCAGTATGTTGATCTTTTTAATATTCGAGATGTAGTGTAACGTGACGAAGTTTCCATTCTTCCTTGACGTAATGGACTGTTAAAACAATGTAACTTTCATTTGAACGAGAAGTCCATCCATCTGTTGTAAATAACAAGGATCTTACACGTTTGCATTCATTATCAAGGATACTTTTAATATGATTAACAGCTTTTTCAAAAGCGTTCGGAATATGATAGTGAGAAAAATATTTCCTCGATGGAACAGTTTACCTAGGTTCAGCTTTTTTCATAAGTTCTATAAATGCAGGTTCTTGGACAATAGAATAGGCATGACAACCTTGATACACTGTCAATAAGTGCCTTCACATTTGGATTTGTTTTCACCCATGCTTGTGTTAGGTTTATAGCTTGTGGCATTGTGGGTTGAGACATTTACATTTTTTTGGAAGTATTTTCAGTTTTTGTTAAGTTACTCACATCATTATATTTATCAAATATATTTTTATGCATTTTTAGATGATTAATCATTGATTTTGTTTGACTACATTTCCTTTTTATTTGCACTCCCACACTCTAAACATTTACCTTTTTCAACACCAGATTCTCAGATTTTATTGATAAATGATATTTAATAATTTCATCATAACTTAAAAAAGATAACTTCCTGGATACTTAATAAACAACTAAAATCATGCATGCGTAAACGATAAAACTATATGATACATGTTAATGTAGATGAATAGGTAAGTAAAATAATATTTTATTCCATTCCACGATTTGAATTGTTTTATATTATCATTTAGTAAAAAAGCGAGGAAGTAGATGTCACCCTGCTGTATATTAGGTATTTAGGTGTCTAGAAGGTGCTGTAATGGATGGTATTAAATTTGAATAAAGTATCTTTGTATTTGTCCAATTAATTTAATACATATTAAAATATTTAAAACAGTATATTATATTGTTGTCCCTAATTAAAATGTAGTGTTGATGGATCTCCGTGGCAACCTAAAACCCATGAGTTTGTGTGCAGCTCTCATTTTATAGGAAACATTCCTTCTAAAAACCCCAACAACCCTGCCTATATTCCAACAATGTTTCCTGTGTTTTACAAGAAAAGATCAATTAACGAACTACAGCAGAATAAGAGGCATAATCGATACAAGGCCAAGCAGGAAAAAGTAAATAATGAAACATTGTTTACTATTGGTTTAAATAATACAAACTTATCATCAAACAATTATGAATTATTTATTTACAAACCAACATGATATAGGAACTCAAGTACCATTTGATGTTTCTGATGTTGAATATTTTTCATTTCAATGTACATTTGAAAAAAATAGTAACTCAGTTAGTACATTTATTTCAAGTAGTTCTAACAAACTTTTACCAACCAATATTGGTCGATAAATCGAGTATCCCTATACCTAAAATTTCAGTTTCTTGTCTAGATTGCAAAAAATGTCATGGTTATGAATCAATAAAGAGTGAACAATCCCTTGAAGATTTAACTGGAACATCTTTTGAAATGCTTATTCTTCTTTTATCAATGATGTCTGAATCTGCTTGTAATAGTAATATAAACAATAATAATAAACTTTTAATGTTCATCGTACAACTATTAGCAGAATATTTTTTGATATACTCTCAGTTTTAGTTATAAAAACCAGTGCATTTATATTTTGGCCTAATAAAAAAACAATTCAAGAAACGCTAACTGAAGCTTTTTAAACTAATTTTCCTGAGTGTCGTTGCATTATAGATTGCACTGAGTTTGAAGTTGAGCAACCGGCGACAGTTGAACAAAGAGTCTATATGTATTCTAGATCCAAATCATGTTATAAAATTAATGTGCTTGTGGGAATTACATCAAATGGATCTTTTTGTTTCCTTTCGAAGAGTTACGGGGGAAGAAGTAGAGATTCTTATATTACCAATGACAGTGGGTTTCTTAAAAATTTAGAAGTAGGGGACATAGTTTTGGCTGACAATGGGTTTCCGGGTATAAAAACCTTATGTGATGATCAAAAATCTATTTTGGATATGCCCCCTATTTTGCACAATGGGAGATTGAGGAAGAAATAACTAATAATTATTCTGTAGCTAGTTTTCGTATACATATTGAACGTTTAGAACTTTTGTTTGCTAGACTAAAAACATATGGATTTTTAAATAAAATAAAAATTGACTTACTCCCACATATCGTTGATATTATTAAAATATGATGTGTTATAACAAATTTACCATCTCCGATCATCAAACAATAACTATTACTTTAAATTAACATAAATGAGAAAATCAACTTTTTAGTTTAAAAATGTATTTATTTTTAACATATCTTTTCTAAATCTATATAGAAAGTTAATTGTGTAAAAATTATTAATATTACATATGTATATAATATATAAGTAAATACAATTTTATAACTTTATAACTTGTACACACACTTAATAATAGATCAAACATACATTTTGTTGTAAATCAAATTATGATTTTAATACAAGTTCTGTTAAATAAGTTGAAAAATAAAACTGTTCAATTTTAGACAAAGCTGAGTTATAAAATAATTGTTTCTTTCAACAGTTATAAGAATTGGTTTAATATAATTAAAAACATAGAAATCACATTTTGTTAAACCTGTACAAAACATTAGAAATTGACATTGAGTGTAATATGTATGTGTTGGTCTTAATATTATATTGCCATTATTATATTTCAAATAACATAAATTTATTTTTGCATCAGACTCTATGGGTGTATTTTTGCATGATATAGCCATATAGGACATTTCACTTCTAACACTCGATCAATTTTATTGTTTTTCATAATTATAAATTAGTCCATCTGGAGAAGCACATATCCATGGATTATTAGAATGCACAATTAAACCACTCTCAATGTGTTCGTAACCATATTTTATTTTTAAGTAAGCTTGAATTGCAGTTTTTTCAGTTATTAAACCATAGCCTACATGTATTGATGCTTTACCCTTAAGTGAAAAATTTAGCATCAGTATATTTACAACTTTTTGGTAAGACATTCTTGTGTTAACAATTGTATGAGCTTTTGTAGCTGAAACCCTGAATTTACGTTGTTCAAACCATGTTTTTGATTGAGATTGTTTGAATAAATATAATTTTAATTTCAAATATAATATAATATAATTTCAAGAAACTTGAAACTTCTACTTAAATGTTTGAATTGGCATGTTTTTATTAACCGTTGTCTAAAAATGTGTGACTATAGTTTGAAGTTTAAATATTTTAATTGCCGCCTTACTTTCGCTCCGGAATCAAGTATAGGTAATATAATAACATATCCTAGACTGACACATCATCTCCGTTCAGAATCGTTTTTCGTATAGAATGATACCTATCATTGCATTCAAATTTAACACATACACATCCTTTATAGTGACCTACTCTACGACCCCCTAATGTACAGCAAAGCGGCATCCACTTGTCCCCTTTTTAAAATTGAAATCATTCGTAATATT